AGCGGAGAGACCTGCACCGGCGGCACCATCTTGTCCGTGACCTTCGCACCGGAAGAGCATCCGGGCGGACTCGGGGAGCGTGTGACGTCGCCGGGCGCGGGGTGGGCTGCGCGTGCGCGGCGGCCGCGGCACGCGGGCGGCTTCCTGAGCCCCGCCCCAGCCTCTGACGCTTTCGGGCCGGGCTGGGTGCACGTCGAGTCCCGCACAGCGTGGGTCCGAACACCTGAAACGTAGGTCGAGCAAACAGTGCACAGGGGACTGCGCCCTGTCCCGCCCGCGGCTGTCCGTCCCGGCCGGGAGCGGGCACGGAGCCCGCCCACCCACGACCGAGGAGCCCCGGCCGGGTCCAGACCTGTCCAGGCCCGCGGCCAGCCCCGGCCAGCCCCGAGGATGGCCCGGGAAGGGGCTCTGGGGGCCGGGGAGGAGGCTGGAGGCTTCGGGCAGGGAATCCAGGTCCGGGGACTGAGTGGGCCCGGGATGCAGGCCCCCTTCCCCGAGGCCTGGCCCAGCGGAGCTGGTGGCGGCGCCTTCTCCCCTCGATTCAGGCAGGTTGGGCCCGTCACGGTGCCCTCAGAGCCGCTTCCTGAACTGCACTGCCTTGGGCGCGCTCTCGGGCCACCCCAGCCCCAGTCCAGCCCCGCTCCTGCCACGCAGAGGGCATCCCAGGAGCCTCGCGGACGGTGGGTGACAGGCCGTCCTCCTGGGAAGACTCCCACCCAGCAGAGCCTGCTTCTGGGTCTCCCTGAGCCCTGCCCTCAGTACCTGCAGTTCCCAGTTCCAAGGTCCTCCTCAACCTGGGCCTCGGGGGCCACTGACTCTCAGAACTCCTGCCCTCCTCTGTTGTCCCCAGCTCCTGTGAGGGCGAGAAGGGAGGGAGGGTGCACACCCGCGGGGGTCCCCCTCTCACCATGGGCCCCCCACCCCACTCAGGCTTCCTCAGAGTAGCCACCTCTCTCCCCCAGCTCTGTGGTCAGTACACCGCCAGGCCAGGCGAGGCGTGCAGAGGGCCTGCCCAGAGGTGGGCATTGGTGGCTAGACAGGCTCTCCACTGCGCACACTGTGCTGACGCGTGGTTCCCATGGCAACTGGGCAGGGGTGCGGGAGCACTGCCCACACCCTGGGCCCTGTGCTGCTTTAGACAGCTCTCCGAGGACTAAGGCTTGGGACTCCCTAGGCTGCCCGCTCCATTGGGGGAGCCCACTCTTCCTTACCCTTCGTCAGACCCACCCGTTTCCCAAGAGAACTGAACTGGCCCTAAGGAGAACAGAGCTGGGGCACGCAGAGGGCCCGGTAAATCTGCACGGGGTGTCTGAGAGGGGCTGCGCTGGGGGAAGGGCCCCCCAGTACCCTTATTGCTCTTGGAGGAGGATGGAAGCGCTCACAGACCCCACAAGGTGCGAGTAAACTCTCTGGGCCAACCAGGGGCAAGGCAGTGCGGAGGGCCGCTGCGCATGCGCACACACGTTCTCGCCTTTGAGCAGTTGGGCAGACATCAGGTGACAAATGTCTTTACTCTCCCTGGATTTTAAAATAAACCAGACTCCTCAGCAACTCTTGCTTCCAGAATCAAAAATAAGTGTCTCTGGGGCCAAAGGTGGGGCTGGAATGCCAGCGGGGGCACTACACACCAGTAGCTTTCACTGGGCGGGAGGTAGCGACCAGTGGAGTTCACTCACAGGTGTGTGCACACACACACCCCTGCCCAGGGAAGACCCCTGAAGCCAGAGACTCTCACTTTGGCCCAGGACCCGTCCTGGGGTCTGGGGGGTGGGGTTCCACCTGGCTCAGGACACCCAGGCTGCCAGCTTACAGCTGCACCTGTCAGGGCAGCTGTCGCTGCTGCATCCCAGTGTCCCCAGGAGCTGGCTCCAAGGCTATCTTTAGTGCTGCACTCAGACCCTGGCTGGCCCCAGGAACCCTCCCCAGGGGCTCTGCTGGCCCTTCCGGCCTTCCCCTTGTCAGGGCCTTTTGAGCACAGGCCCCACATGTCATCCCCTCCGTGTGACACCGCCGCTTCTGCAGCCCAGTCAGGGTCCGTCCCTCCAGGTGTCAGCCAGACCTGGCCCGTCTGGGAACATTGGAGTCCCTGTGTGATGAGCGGCCAGGCTCAGGCCTCCCACATCAGTCACGTGTCCCCGCCTCTGGGGACCTCTAGGCAGAGCCCCACGGGAGCCCTGGAACCTCCAGGTGGACCACACCTCCCAGGTTGCTCAAGGTGCCTGTTGTCCCACACTCACGTGGTATCGGCAAATGGTGATGGGCCCTGTGATCACGTGTGGCAGCACTTCAGGGCGCCATGCGACTGAGGTGTGTGCCCCTGGGGGCAGGACCCCTGCTAGGCATCACTCACAAGTGCCCCCAGCCCCCCGCCCATGATCGCAGCTGCACAGGCTCTCTGCGCCCCCTCCCTGCACACTGAGGGCTGCAGCCGCTGCCTCCCACCCAGGACCAGGGCATCTGGCCCCTGACAGTGTAGTGACTTCTGGCTAACAAGCTCCCGGGCCAGACGCTGCCTATGCGGCCATGGCATGTGGCAGGAAGAGCAGGTCGGTCGCCGGCCACAGCCCAGCCCGTCTGGCCCTCCATGCCCTCCTGTGTGCCGGACAAGGAGCTCCCGCCCTGCAAGCATGGAGTGAGAAGGATGGCCCCAGCACCAAGGCTGGGGGGCCTGGGACTTCTCTGCATCACGACAGGGAGGTGAGAGCACAGAACATACTTAGGGGACACCTGGGGACTGGCTACCAGGGCCACTTACAGCAACTTTGTGCAAGCCTGAAAAAGATGCCTTCTGGCTCCTGCTGGCCCCCAGGCCTTCATGCCACATGCAGGTGGCCCTAGAGATGCACAGAATCCAGGAGAACAAGGGCTCCTGAGTGGGGGCAGGCGGGAAATACCCAAGAAGCTACAGGCCCAGCTGGGCAGGGCAGGATGGGGCCATCTGAGTCACTGCTGACCATCAAAACTCACTGTGCAGTTGTCCAGTCCCCTGGGTGCCCTGAGCCTGTCCTTGTAGGGAGTGGCAGGCAGAGTCCGAGCTGTCCTGGGGGACCGGGCAGGAGCTTAAGACGGCAACCTGGACGGGGGCGGAGGGCACAGGCCGTCCAGTCAGTCAGACCCAGCATGGTGAGTGTGCAGCGGGCAGCCAGCTGAGGTGGGGCGTGTGTGTGCACGTGTGCCTTCACATGCGAGACTGATGAGTGTGCGCACGTGTCATAGGGGCTAGGGATGGGGGAGACCTAGGCTCCATAGCTGCCCCGGGGACAGGATGAGGCTGGAAGACAGAGGGTCCTGGCCTTCGCCCCACCGGGAAACCCAGGGGAAGCCCCCTGCCTGCTGGCCATCTGCACAGTCCATTTGCTCTTTGGACACAAAGGCCCAGCTGGCTCCCGACTGGACTGCAGACCCAGCAGGGTGAAGTTCAAGATGGACCATGGGTGCTGTGTGGTAGGGCGTCCTTGGCTCCTTCACCTGCAGCTGCCCTAGCTGGCGACCCAGATCCAAGTGCCACAGTCCACCCATCCTCTATATTGTCTCCCAAAACACCTGGGCGCCCCCAGGGAGACCCCCAGCCGGTCTGGGGGACCCTCAGCCTTGGCATTCTCGCCTCAGGCCAGCAGGAAGACCAAGAAGAAAGAAGGGGGGGCCCTCCGGGCCCAGAGGGCCTCATCCAATGTCTTTTCCAACTTCGAGCAGACCCAGATCCAGGAGTTTAAGGAGGTGAGAGATCTTCCACCCAGAAGCTCCTCCCGGGGGTCCCCTGGGAATCACATGCAGGTGACCCAGAGCTCCCGCAAGTGCCTCACTCCTGAGCCAGTGAGAGGGGCCGCCATCCTCATGCGGCTCAGCCAGGCCATGACCCTGGGCTTCTTGCAGGCCTTCACGCTGATGGACCAGAACCGCGACGGCTTCATCGACAAGGAGGACCTGAAGGACACCTACGCCTCCCTGGGTCGGTGCTGGGATGGGGGTGGGGGATGAGGCTCAGCACAGCCATCGCCCTCAGTCCCACCTGCCGCCCCACAGGCTGTGGGGGAGGGTGGTCCCGGGGAGAAGCACCCCCTCTGTGTTGGTCAGGGCCAGCAGAGTCCTCACCAGAGTGGGTGGCAGGGCCCAAGCACGGGAGAGGAGGCTGGCCCTGGGCCCAGGGACGGACGCCACCGCCGGGGAGGCCCAGGGACACAGTGTAAGCCCGAGGCAGGTCCTGTCCCCAGCCCACTGCAGCCTGGCTCCCGCCCTCCCCCAACTCCCATCTGGGGACATGCTTGTCTCAGCCTGTGGCTGTTTTGTCCTTGAAGCTGGGGAGGACAGGCTGGTTTCTACCTGGGGGGGGTTGGGCCCCCCTCACACCCAGGTAAACAGATCAAAGATCTTCCCTGTCCTCAGCCGTCCACCTCCCCATGGCTCAGGGTTTCGGGTCCTGTGACATACACAACCTGCGCCCCACTGCACCTGGGCCAGGCATTCCCCCATTTGCTCACCTCCCCCCCTCCAGTCCCCGTCTTTGTTCTGGGGTCACATGGAGAATGACGGAGTGGGCAGCTGCTGGTGGGGACGGTGGATGCATCAACAAGGATACAGAGTGGGGAGCCCCTGCCCAGTGACCCCGTGTATACAACAGGCAAAATCAACGTCAAGGACGATGAGCTGGACGCCATGCTCAAGGAGGCCTCGGGGCCCATCAACTTCACCATGTTCCTGAACATGTTCGGGGAGAAGCTGAGCGGTAAGCCCGCAGCCGCTGCCAGCGCAGCGCTTCCCAGCACTTAGAAATCCAGACGTCTCACATGAAAGTCCAGATTTCCAGATCTCTCTTTTTTTTTCAGGCGAGGCAACCCTTGGTTGACCTCATAGATTGCAAGGTCCTTGTCAGCTTACGATACCTTATTTTTTTATTTTATTTTTGAACACCTACAGCACCTGGTCTTCCTAGGTGATCTCCCATCCAAGTACTAAGCAGGCCCAACCCTGCTCAGCTGCCGAGATCAGACGGGATCAGGCATGTTCAGGGGGGCGGGGCCATAGATTCCAGATCTCTTGAAAAGCCCTCAGGCTCACATCTGTGGCCCCCACATCTCACGCACCACCCCCCGGCATGAGAGCTTGGCACTGAGCCCCAGCCCCACCTCCTGTCTGCCTGCTGGTGGTGGCCTCTGTCCCCACTGCCTGAGCGTGCCCAGCTCTGGGGCCCACGAATGGCCCCGGCAGAAACTACAGGCCCCCAGGTGCTCACGGCCTCTGTGCATAGGTACGGACACCGAGGAGACCATCCTAAACGCCTTCAAGATGCTGGACCCCGATGGCAAAGGCAGTGTCAACAAGGACTAGTGAGTGTGGGCACAGGCACCTGCCCCCTCTGCAGGTCTGAGGGACACTAGCCCACCGCCCCCCAGCTTCCCCAAGACCCTGAGTCTCTCAGGGCAGCTAAGGGCAGAGCCCGGCCTGCTCACTCAGACCATCGCTGGGTCAGCAGGCGACCTGGGCCCAGGACTGGGAACGGGCATATGCCAGGCACTTGGCTCTGGTGCCCCTCAGTCTCCGCCCACCCGGGAGGGGACAGGAGAGGCTCCTGGTGCCCAAGACTAAGTGAGCCCACCCTCCGGGAGTCCCTACCCCATGGAGGAGCCTCAGTGTGAACTGGCCTGGGTCACGGGCCGCCAGGGGCCTCCGTCTAGCTGGCCTAGTATGGAGTCCTTCTGCCCAGCAGCCTAATTCAGCTCCTCCCTATCTGTCCTTAGCATCAAGCGGCTGCTGATGTCCCAGGCCGACAAGATGACCGCCGAAGAGGTTTGGCCCCTCGGTCCCCCCACTCCTCCCCCAGGGCCCTCTGCAAAACCCAAGCATGGCCCTCAGGACTCCAGGGCTCCGCGGGGGGTGCGCCCTGGCCCCCCAGAGGCTGTGTGTAGTATCCGAGTGGCCCAGCCCCAGCCTGCCCTTCACTCTGCAGTGTCCCTTGCCCCTGGCGTCCCCAAGCGCAGAAACAAAACTGAAGCCAGTTGGAGTTCAGTGCCTGTAATTTGCCCTCGGGCTACAGCCCTTGGGGCTGCTTTTGCTCTTCCTGTGGTGCCTGGGCCTGACCCCCAGCAAACCGTGCTCGCAGGTCGACCAGATGCTCCAGTTTGCCACCATCGATGCTGCAGGCAACCTGGACTACAAGGCGCTGAGCTATGTGCTCACCCACGGGGAGGAGAAGGACTGAGGGCTGCCTCCCACGCCCACCTGGGCCGTGGCCACATCAATAAACTTGAACCCGCAACCTGCCTGCGAGTGTCTGCGGGGGAGGGGAAGGGGCTCCCCACACGGTCCTAGCACCCAGGCGGGGGGTGAGCTTGCCCAGTGACCATGGCTGGGAGAGGCTCTGGGGTGGAACCCCCAAGGAAGGCCCTGCACACATCTGTCCACTCCCGACCCAGACATGCTGAGGCCCTCAGGACTCCCTGCCCATCCAGCTCCCCATCAGCCCCTGCCCCTCACGCCTGGCCAGCCCCACCCCCATATACTGCCCCTGCACCAGCCACTCGTGGTCTGGCCTGGACACCGGACCACCCTGCCTGGTCAGTGGCAGCTTATCCACACAGCAGCCACGGCCACCGGGAGTGCCCTGGGCCATCCTATTGGGTGTGCCGGGCCCCCTGAGGCCCTGTGGCATCTGTGGGACAACAACCGCGGGCACAGCAAGGTGGCCAGAGCCTGCCCCTCCTCACATCCCCGCTCCCTCAGCCTCCGGCCATCGGCAGGGCCCCTGTGCCGCCCCCACAGGAGTGGCTCGAGGAGGTGGCTGCCCCTGAGCTTCCTGCAGCATGGCTGAGGCTATGGGGGCCCGCGGGCCTCAGGGACGATCTGCCAGGAGAGGCGCACGGTCTGCCTCTGGGCACCGGTCCTGGATGGAGCGGCCGGCGCGGGCCTCGGCCTGCAGGCGCCGGTAGGGGGTGTGGAAGGACAGCACCAGGCAGCAGCTGAAGACGGTGCTCAGGCCAGCCATCAGCAGCATGGGCACTGGGGAGATGCGGCCAGCTCTACCCAAGGCTCGCCCTCGTGGGGCCCGGCGTGGCCGTGGAGCCAGCAGAGCCCCAGCTGACCCCCCAAGATGACGCAGGGGGACCTGGAACCCATCTTGTCTCAGGCCCCACCCGGCCCTGAGGGCGTGTCCGTAGCTCTGGTCACCTGCAGCTCCCAGAGGCTCCCCTCCCTCCATCTGTCTCCGTCTCCCGGGCCCCTTTCTCTTCCCGATTTCATTTCAATGTTGAGCTCGGGATCCTGCCTGTCGCTCTCTGACCCCAGCCCACCCTGCCCACCGAGGAGACTGACAAGGGCCCACGGAGGGGAGGCTCCCCAGGCGCCCTAACCCCCTCACCTGAGCCTCGGGGGCTCAGGGGGCTGGGCACTCACCCTTCCAGTCCAGCGGGTCTTGGCCTTCCCGACAAGTGGAGAAGGACGGCTCCGCACGACGCACAGCCAGGGCGGTCAGCAGCACCATGATGAGCGCGCCCTGGGCCTGCCTGGACAGTGCAGGCTCTCAGCCCCGCCCGGCCACGGCTGGCCATCCAGGGCAGCTGTCAGTCCCAGGCCTCAGTCCCAGGACACTGCGGCTCTGGTCAGCACCGCCCGGGGCGCACATGGCCAGAGCCAGAGGGCGTGGGCCCTGGCCTGGGCAGGTGGGTCACCACTACAGCCTGGGGTGGGAGGGGGCGGGGCTGGACACTCACCCCATCACGAAGACCAGGCCCGCGGCCGCGGCCTCGCCCACCGGGAAGGTGCACTCGACTACCAGCTCCGTGGCAATGGGCGCCACCGAGAAGCCGAAGAACCCGAGCAGCGAGCAGATGGCAGCCAGTGCAACGGTCTGTCCCCGCAGCTGGGACACCTGGGCAGTGAGTGTAGGGGACAGCTGTCAGGCAACCCACAGCCCCGCCCTAGTGCCACCAGGCCCGCTGAGCCCAGATCCGCCCAGGAGACAGGGCTTGGAGGGCCTGATGTCTCCTCTGCTGGGCTCGGTGCCGAGGCACCCAGGCCCACCCGTGCAGCGAGGACTTGGCTCTAGGGGACTCACCAGAGCGAAGGCCACACAGACCACAGAGGCCAGACAGAAGCCGACCTTGACGGCTTCCGTGAAACGCTTTGTCCGGTCCACATACAGGCCAAGCACCAGCGCCCCCAGGATCCCAAACACGATGAACAGAGCCCCACAGAGGCCCGCAAATTCCTGCAGAAGAGGCCAGGGTGCGGGGTCATCGGGTGCTGTGCCCCAGGGACCTAGGAGGCGGTGTTGGAGGTACTCTGTCACCAGGGAGCGCACAGCGCAGTCACGAGCACTAAGCCTCAGACAGGACCACTCTGCACCGCTGGCTGTGTGTAGGGGTAGGGGTGGCCTACACCCCCTGGAGCTGCCTCTCCTGTGTCACCAGCTCCGAGAAATCAACAATTGCTAAAGGGAAGGGCCCCTAAGTGCCTCGTGCCCTTGAAGGACATGCCAGGCCCAAACCCCACCCCTGGGCTGATGCCACACAGCAGAGGGCAGAGCCAGGCCTCCTCTGCATTTCCAAATGTCAGAGGATCACCCTTCCCCGGACACTGCAGGGCGGGGCCATCCTGGGTGCAGCTGGGAAAGACCGTGGAAAGCACCTCACGAAGCCCCGGTGTCCCTTGGGCATGCAGCCACCATGCTGCCTGCAGACCGCGTTTGGCCTGACACTCCTCACACACAGCATCACAACAGCACACATAGCAGGAGGCCCCCCTCCCCAGGTGTGGAAACCCAGGACTTGGGGTGCTTGTGGGCCACTCCACAGCCTGCGGGGTGACAGGATCCCGGGCCTTGTCCTTGCTCGGCCGGGACAGGGCCCGCACTCACGTCGGAGTAGCCGTTCACACAGAGGACCTGCTCCAGGAGCGCAGAGAAACTGGAAAAGATGCCGACACCACCCCCGAAGCACACGGCCAGGATGACGTAGGCCTTGTTCCTGGCGAGCTGCGGGAGAAGGCCTGCTCAGCCCAGCAGCTGCAGCAGGGTGCCAGAGGCCGCCCAGCGCCTGGCCTAGCCCTCCCAGCCCAGGTCCCACAAAACCAACCAGCTTCAGCCCGTCCAGGAACGTCTCCGAGGTGGAGCAGGCGGCCCCAGCCGAGGGCGGGGTGGGGGGCACGCTCTCCCAGAGGCACATGCTGGCCAGCAGGCAGGCAAGGCCGGCAGGGATGATGTAGATGCCCATCTGGGGAGAGAGTGTGCATGCGTGTGTGTGCGTGCACATGAGGCCCTCGCAGACACACGCACATGGACGGGCCCCTCATGCTTGCTCGGGCTTCAGCCGTCACGCTGCCCCCTTTGCTGGCCACCCCCACCCGCCATCCCCAGGGGACGTGGGTGAGCCTGGGTCATGCCAGGCCCGGCTGCTCTGCTTCGTCTGGAACCCCAGCTTTCAAAATATCACCCAAGGATGACTCCACAGTGACGGCCTTGGCCCGACCCTCAGCCACAGCTCCAGACTCACCTGCCCAACTGCCACTGGACGCCCTCTTCCCACCTCCGTGAATGACCCCGATGGGCACCCCTGGCACAGCTGCAAGCCCCCCGTGCCCTACTGCACCACAAGCCCTGCACCTGAGCCTGCCCCCTGCCTACCTGAGCAAGCCCTGGCTCCCTGCTGGACATGCCAGCCGCGCCCAGAACGAATCGCTCCCCCTCGTAGGCACCCCCAGGCTTTTCCTCACGCCGACGCCAACCACCCAGCACCCGGGCGGACCCTTCCCTCCACCCTCCCCTTGCTCAGCTGACACAGGGGCCCTGGGCTGCAGCCCCCACCCCTCAACCTTGCTCCCACCTCAGGACCTTCCTCTGCTTGTCCCTCATCACCGTCCACAGCCCTCCCCAGATGCCCTCTTGCTCCGGCCAGCCTCCCATGTCTCCGGGGGCCTCGTCCCACCACGGAAACCGCCTGCCATCCTGGTCCCTAGAACCCAACGCTGAGGAGGTGCCTGGTACTTGCACACTCGGAGAAATCCTGTGTGCACCCATGTGGCCACACTCACACAGATAGGTGTGGACACACTCGTGCATGCTTGAGCATGCACATACCACATATGTGCATAAACATGCTACATACATGCACGCATCCTGCACAAACACCAAACACACATGCGCGGGTGTGCCCCACGAATCTCCTCACCATCAAGGCGATGTCGTCCTCCTTCTTCACCAGGGCAGGCGACAGCACGTTGGCCGCCAGGACGCCCAGGGGGTTTGCTGGATAGATGGACAGACACGCATCAGCTCGGCCATGGCCAGGCCTGCTCCCCGGCCCACAGGTGGAACCCTCCGCCCTCCGGGAGCTGGGATGCCAAGGTGGCTGACCAGAGGAGACCGTCGGCCCCCACCCCCCGCAGCTCACACATGGTGCCAATCATGTTGGCCGTGGCTCGCTGGTGCTCAGGAAACCACAGGGCAGCCAGCTTGGCTGGAGAGAAGATGATCAGGGGCTGGGCCAGGGCACAGAGGCTCTGCCCACCCATGAGGAAGGCAAATGGGTCCTGGATGCCGACGACCATGCAAGGCAGGGCACGGAGCATGCTCCCGGCAAAGTTCAGCCATGCACCCAGGACGGTCTGTGGGACAAGGTCAGGAGGCTGCTGGCCAGCCTGGACGCCTGCCTAGCTCTGCCACCTCCCCTCCCGCCGGCCTCGTGGCTCTGCCTGGGCACCGCCCCCGGTCTGCGGAGGAGGCGACGCTCGGGAACCCTGCACTGCCCTGCCCCAGAGCGGGCCCGGTGTGGGGTCTAGCTCACCGCCCAGCGGAGCCCGACGGAGTCCAGAACCCAGATGGCCACCACGCCGGACGGGATGGACACCACGAAGTAGACCAGCGAGAGCCAGTTGATCTGCTCCGTGGAGAGGAGGAAGTGCTGGGCGATCGTGTCGGCCACGGGCGCGAAGCTGAGCCACAGCTGAGGGACACACCTGGTGTCAGCCCAGGACGAGGACTGCGGGCCCGGCCGCCACCTCTGTCCTGGGCTCAGCCGGCTGGTGTGAGAAAGAAAAACTGCCCAGCAGTCCCGCGGTGGCCAGGCCTTCGCCCGACACCCCTGACGGATGCTGCCGGGCCGGGGGCCAGATGCCCGCCTGGCCGTGGACCAGCCTCCTCCTCGCAGGCACGGTCCCGGGGGCCAATGGAGGCCAGCAGCCCGGCCAGGTTGAGCCTCAGAGATGAGGCCCGAGCTGTCGGCACGGGAGACCTCTGTGCCGCGTGCTGGGGGGCGGGTGGCATGAGGTGGCACTGGCAGGGAAGGAGGTCACTGAGCGAGCTGGTGGCCCCGGCTTCTAGCCGCATGGACAGGCCAGGCAGAGGGGCGCGTTTGCGGACACAGCGTCTGTGGTGGACGCCTACGTGTACACGGGCAAGAGGACAATTGGCCGAGAGCCATGAGGAGACAGTGGGAGTGACATAGAAAAGAGGCGTGATAACTAAATATTAAATCGAGCTGTTTTCAGAGCCTGCTCCACACTGCCCGACACGGGGACCTGGCCGATCGACACGCGGCCTGACCACGGGGATGATGGGAGGGCTCCTGCTGAGCATCCTAGCACCTTGTTCCCCGTGGCCACACCTGGCGAGGAAACCGGTTTAAGCTGAATTCCTGTGACGCTCGGTCCCTCTCTGTCTCCGGAAGGTGACCGCGACTCCTTCTCTAACAAACTCCCCCCGTCTCTAATTCTGGCGCACAGTCAAGGACCCTCACTGACTCTCGGCGCAGGACCTGAGTCCCCACTTGGGGGGTTCACCCTGTCCTGCATTAGAGGGGTGCTTTGAGGGGCAGAAGAGGGCCCAAAGGCACCGCAAGCCTGTCCACAGACTCAGTGATTGAGTCCCTGGTGGAAACACCTGGACCATGTGCCAGCCCTGCCCCAGGCCAGCCTGACCCCTGCAGGAGACCCAGGTGTATGGGACACAAGACCCCCGAAGCAGGAGCCGTCTCCCAGCTGCAGGCACCATCGCGTGCTGGAACTCAGCTCCCAGACCTCCTCCAGCAAACAGTGTGAGTGGTGGGTCAGTGGGAAGGCTTCCTGGAGGAAGCGAGAAACAACTGGGCCTCGAAGGGCAGGCAGGTGCAGAGGAGGGCCCACCAAGGCTTACTCTGGAGGGAGCCAGGAGGTGGGCCCGGCAGGACCAAACCCAGGGTGTCAGCGGTCAGGATCGCTCCCAGCGTGAAGCGCCCAAGACTGCAGGCCCCTGCTCCAGGCCACGGCCTCCAGTGGAGGTCAGAGACCCAGGCTTCCTGCCTCAGAGTTCCGACCGCAAGCCCTCAGAGGACAGTGAGTTCACCCACAGCCACTGGCTCTTCCCTACTCAGAGGGCAGAGCAGGGCAAGTCTCCCAGACTCAGAATGAGCCCCACGCAGCCCCGCTGCTCCACCAGTGGGTCCGGCAGACAGGCAGCCTGGTGCCTGTTTTCCACACCTGAGTGGAGCCCACCCCTCGCCAGCCTCTCCCTGTCCTTGTTCCTCCCCAGGGCCTGTGGCCAGCAGAGCAGACGCAGGTCTAAACCATGCAAGGCAACGTGGGGGCGACAACTCGCGCCCACTGCATAAGAACCCTCTTTGACCTGCCCCAGCCTCACCACATGATGCTCTTGCCAGACCGCGGGGCTCTGTCTGGGCCACTCAGGGGCTATCCCAGACCTCACCCCAGACCTGCTCCTCACAGAACCTGGAAGCTCTTGCCGCCAGCCGCAGACGGAGTCAGCGAGGGGCTAAGTGGGCTTGGCCAGGGTAAGCGTGACGGCCAGTGCTCACTGTGGTGACCAGGGCAGGGATGGTGGCAATTCTCGCTGGGACTGTTTGCTCCGTGATGACTCGTGTGTAAAGGGGCGTGTGCAGGACAGTGCCTCAGTGTCCAGGGAACTTCTCTAGGCCACTTGGCATGCCCATCCATTCTCGGACTCATCGAGGCGGCTCCAGGGGCTGAGGGAGACCCTGCTCTGCACCCTCAGACCACTGCACCCAAAGCCAGGACTGGGATGTCTGGACACCAGGACCTGGGGGCCGAGCCGCAGCCACGAGTCCCACATAGAATGGGGCTTCTGGAGTCAGGGCTGCCTGCTGCAGCAGGGCCGGGCGTCCACACTCGGCCTGTGGGGGGGCAGGGGCGGGGAGGAAAAGGCATGCACGGAATGATGTCCCAGAGGACGTCCCCAGGGCCTGCACTTCCTGACCAGCTGGCCCAACCTGTGGGGCCTGTTGCAGCTTTGCATCACGTGATTACAGAGATTGCAGCGCGGAAGCTGCCCAGCCAGGCCTGGGCTCTTGAGTCAGCACACAGGCTCTGCAGGCAGAGGAGAAGCACCAGGGAAGAGGCACGTGGTGGCCCGGTGAAGCCCTGTGGGACAGCACTGCAGCCTGACCCCGGAGCAGGTGGCCAGGTGAGGGCCAGGTGTGGGAAGAGTGGCTGTAAGCCCCTGAGGAAGTTCAAAACAGGCCCCCCAAGAACGTGCTGCTCTGGCGTGTGTTATTTTGAGCTGAAGGCAACGGAGACCCTGCAGGCTCACAAGAAACTCCTACTTCCCTCTTAGAGAATTTGAATTGAGGCCTTGCCCCGGAACACGAGTCATCACCGGAAATAACCTCCCGACAAGGTGGGGTGGGCTTCCAGCTACTGGGAAGTCGCTATTCCAGCAGGTTCCCTTAGAGGCCCAGGTGCCCTGCCCCGCCCTAGGCGCAGGGCGCCATCCACATCTCCGTCCCTCGGTCTGACTCTCCTGGGTGTGGGCTGGGTGTGTATATATGTAATTAAATTCGGCTATTTTATCTTGCTAATCTGTCTCATGTCGACTTGACCATCAGACCAGTGGGAAGAACCAAGAAGGGTCAGAGAAACTCTCCCCTAGACCTCTCAAGTACGTATTGGTGCTTGGCCGAGGGAAGTAGGGGTGGCCCACCTGAGGCTGCGGAGTGGAGCAGGGTCCACTCGCCGAGCCTACCTGCATGTGACAGGCTGGGAAAAGGGCAGAGCAGCGGGCAGCTCCCGGGCAAGTCTGGGGGAGAAGCAGGTTTGGGGGACTGGGCCCACATAACTGGCAGACCAGGCTCTCACTGGCTGACCCCTAATTTCCGGGCTGTGATGATGAACGTGGCTGAGTCCCTGCCAGCAGTGGGGACAGCTCTAGGGCAGGCAGCGGGGGCACTGTGGACCCCAGCTGGGGAGCAAGGAGGGGCGGGGCCGGGCAGGGCAGGGCAGCCCCCTGGAGGGACCGCAGAATAGAATGAGAAACCCAGGCAGGCAAAGTGCGCAGCCCTGCTCGGCCTGCGGGCTGGGGCTGGGGCTGGAGAGGGAGGACGCGGACACCAGGTTCCTCAGAGGGAGGGGGACCACTGGAGAGCGCTTTCTCAACTGTCCACAGTGACTCCTCCTACCCCGTCCTGTCTCAGGGGAGGGAGCCTTCCAGACCAGCACAGGTCACAGGACCTGGCTCTGCGCGGCGAGGGAACACTAGCCCCGTTTCTCCGCGTGCAGCCTCAGCCAGGAGGAAGGACTCCCAGATCCGAGTCTCCGCACGTGCTGAGGTCGCCGACTCCCCCCTCTCCCCCGCCTTGCGGTCCTACTGTCCCTTCCTGTCCAGCATCCTCGAGCCCCGGAGCAGGCACGCGCCCTGGGCGCACCTGGGCACCGCAGGGGGCAGGTCCGGGGCTCGGAGCTGGGTTCCGGCCCGGCCCCGGCACTCCGCTCCACCCGCGGAGGCCAGAACTCGAGGTGCCCGGCCCCTACCGTGGCGTTGGAGCAGCTGAGCAGGCTCAGCACCAGCAGGAAGACCCAGCGGCGCGCGTAGGCGCGGT